GCTGTATTGGAGATGTGATTTTTTTTTTTTGAAGTACTGGATTAACCCAGAGACCCCAAGTTTATGGTTCTATTAAAGAGCTGGGACATGCTGAGCATCTCCATCGCTGCTTGGCAGACCTGGGCAAGAATCCTGTGCATCTGACACATCACATCCTTCTCTGCACCTCATTAGCAGACACAAATACATTGTGAAAAACACATTTGTGGTGAATCTGTAATAAGATGTAAACCAGAAATAAGAACCCAAGCTCTCGTGAGATTCGCTGTGACCAGTGGCTGGAGAGTAGACAGAGCCATCATGCCTGCTTCTCCAATGCTTTGCAAAAGCAATCAGTATCCTTAGTTACCAGCTGGAGACCTTTTGGTAGCCTTTTTAAAACCAGTGCACGTATAGATGTAACAGGAATTTTGCTTTTGCTTTTCTGTGTAGCATCAGCATTTTCAGTAGCAGAAGAAGAAAATTCTGGCATAATCCAAGCAAATACTCAGACGCAGTACATACTCTGTGTTCAGCAGCACCTTTAACTGACCCCACATAGCCAGTGCACTCAGCTGTGTTGCTAACAGTCTTTTAAGTCTGCATCTCTTTTGCTTTCTGACATGTGTATGTGATATGATGGCAGGAGCAGGAACTGGTTTCAATGCATTACTTGCAGTACCCAAATCAGCCTGAATTTCTAGGTGCTATTAATTCTGTGTCAGAGTTGTTGTGTCTCATGCACAGCTCCTTGTTGATTCTCTTCAGTTGTTCACAGATAAAATGTAGCCTATTGTGTTAGTCTATGCATACATATTGCCGGCTTACATACAGCTTCCCCTTTGGGTCTTCTTACACTCCTGGAACAGTTGTCTCCTGTAATCCATGGAACAGCCTTAGTCACCACTTCAAGCTAAAATCTTCTGCAGAATTCAAAATGAGATCAATCCTCCTACATTCCTAGAACACAGTTTCCATAATAAAAAGAAGGTGGAACACTTTAGTGTGTTCTGGTCAGTCTCATCCAATGAAGATGCTTCTGAGAAAAAATGCAATTTGACAACATGCCCAAATATTTGAAGTTATGCCAAATGCCACTTTCCAGACAAAACTGTGAAGTTCTTGCACAGCTTGGATACTGTTGTGGAAAAACTCACACCACCGTCAGAAGCCTTTAGCTGACCTGAACAGATTAGTGTTGTTATTCCAAGGAAATCATAGGCAATAGCAGAAGATCTTGCACGTACAGGTACTACCTTACTCTTTATTTTTGGATCAACTACACAGATACTTTGTTAACATTCTCAAAATGTCACCCACCTCCTCTGATTTACTCCAACCTTCTGGCTTGTTTCACCATCTGTGTGGATTGCCTCACTCAGTTTTTGGAAGCATGGGGATGCTAATAAGGGAGATGGGCTTAGGGACATGGTTTGTTTAGGATATTCACTACCGTTTCAAATTTTGCATAATTCTACTTTATAATTTTACTAGGGATTAGGTTCTCATATGTTGCCCATTTAACTAATTTTCATGTGGCACAATCTCAGATATTTCACAGAAATAGAGGTAGATTTGATTTTCATTTTCCTTCTCCTTTCCTTTAATCTGACACTTATCTTTGTCAAATACCACCCTACTACTGCTTTTTCTTGGTAGGCAGTCAGTTTATTCCAGCTCTTGACTTCCCTACTAATTGTTTTCTCTTACTTTTTGTTTGGCTCTCTATTTTAAAACATATTTTTTGTCATATAGGTATGCTTGGAGGCATGGCCTGACTGTTCCTCCACATCTATGCAAAATGTTCCAGATACATTTTGTGCCTTTGTCTTTAAGAATTTCCAGTCCTTTTCCCTTCTCCAGAGCAATGCCAGTTGACTTCATTAAGTAGCCTTTCTAACTTTTCATAATGCAACTAAATTAAAAAAAAATTAAAATAAATATTGTTAATAGAGCTGCAAGCCTGTTGTTCTTAAAAAAGCCCCCTCTTTCTCATTCTCACTTTTTTTCTCCTATAAAAGACTAGTATAAAACAAATGAAAAATTTAAACCCCTAGAAACTAGTCTTTCTTGCCCTGAAGGCTGCTAAAATTATCACAATTATTCAAGCAGCCTTAACTGTTGACAGAAGTTCTTGTTTGTTTTATATAGCTACTGTATTTCATTTAGAAACTTCTAAAAATATCATCATCTTAGAGACCATCTGCTTAAAATGACAGTGCATACTAGGGCTAAATTTTTGAACTTTTTTTCCTGCTTTGTTCATTTTCTCTCCTAAAACTGGTTACATAACAAACTCAGTATTCAGTGCTAAAGGTTTCTTCTCTAAATTAATTTTCTGCTTACATCCAGTGTGTACACAACCATTTCCAATAGGTTGTGTACACAATACATCGGTCATTTGCTGATTTTTTTTCTGGGAGATCAGAGGGGAAAAGTAGAGAGAGCCTTGTTTTCATATGTGTCGAGTCTGCAGGTTCCTCAGAACAATTAACTGTACCTTTGATGAAGGGACCTTTTTTCCTTTTGCCCCCTCATTGCCCCTTCTTTCCTGGATTCCAGGACAAGAGGAAGAAGAGGAACCTGAGCTAGTTGTCAGGGCCCATGATGTACTACTGCACATAACAGGCCTTTTGTTCAGTTGGTTTTTGATTGGTTTGGTTTTTGGTTGGTTCAAGTAATATATGTATTGTGAAGGAGGAAATTTCCTTTTTGGGAGAATTTGGTGATAGAAGTTCCAACACTTTGACATGTAGTTATTTGCTGTAAAACAACTACTTTCTAATGTTCCCTCTCATTCTCTTGTTATACAAGCTGTTTTATTCTGGTATTTTGTATCCTCCCCAAAATACTGACACCTGCACTTGGAATCTAGGATTGAAAATGAGAATAAATTAGAAGTGGAGGTAGGATAATTTGCCCTCAGTAAGGTTGGTGGATTTTGCTTTTCATTTCTTATTTTTATTTAAACAAAAATTCTGGATTATGTCTTTGGTTTACTGAGAGCTGTTTATGTAGAAGACAGGTCTAATAGGTTTGAAGAATCTTTTAGCGAGTGTTAACATGGTTAACTGGAAGAAAGCAAATACACGAGGAAGCTAACATGTCAGATAACGCTGTTTCTGGGAATTATCTCTGGGAATTTAGGGTTTGTTTATGGGTTTGTACTACCCATTCTTTAACAGAAATAAGTGCTTAACCAATTAATCTCTTCCTTTTCACCTATTGAAAAGAGTCATGGTAAGCTGGTATACAAAGAAAACGGAAGTGTTTGCCATCTTTGGCTACTGAAGTTTCTAGCCTTCCCTGACACCTTTTACAATGTTCTCTAACTTTTCAAAATATCAGTGAAATGTAAGTCTTTCTGAATCTATGCAGATGTCTTTTGTAGAAGCTTCCAACAGTCTATATTATCTAAAGGTTTATTGGAATCGTCCATATGTGATTTATTACTACATCTTTATGCTCTCTTTATATTAAATACTTAATGTGAAATTAAATAATCATGAGTTAACGTATGCTTTGTTAGAAGAAAAATAACCAATGAAATTCTGAGCGTATTTTTTACATCCCATATTTATATTCTGAATCTTCATACAACTGTAATGACAGTTCTCAATCTCACAAATGTCCCATATGAGAAGAGAACAGACAATCCCTCTGTTCTGTAGCAATTCATTATTATTGCAAAATAAATCTTGTTTCCAAGAAGTGTCATGGAGAAATGTCATATTTAAAGTGGGCCTGATTTTACTTGGGGCAGATTGCAGAGATACCTTGAGTTGCCTCAGTGACATATACTTAACCTCACTGCAGCAGAACCCTTATAATCTGGGAAGGAAACTGATGATCAAGACTGTTTTTTCAAATGTTACAGCTGGACTCTGCAACAGGTCTTGCAAGTGTTTTTGGCAATAAGCTCCCGTGTGGTAACTGCATGGTAACTGCAATAGAGAATTTTTTCGGAAGTCACCTCTTTTCCCTAATTTCTCTCTGTTAGCCTGAATATGTAGCACCAGATGAAAGATGGTAAAAATATTTATATGGCACTTGGGGAAAAGGCATGTGATAACTAAGTATATCATGCAGAGCAGCTGTGTGTATCCCTGGCTCTTGGGACACAAAGTCCAAAGCCATTTTCATGAATGATTTTATCCTTAAATACAGAGGGGGGAAAATTACGTGAAGTGGCAGATTGATTTTAAGTTCAGGTCTGGAAACTGCAAAATACCTGCAGGGACTTGTTCAACATATATGGATTCAGTTCTTTCATGTGATGCCAATGGCATTTCATATTTTGTAGGATTAATGAAAAGTGCAAACACTGAGTCTTTGTGTTTGCCTAGCTGCTTTGGATAGAGTAGAAGAAATGAAGATTTAAAAATTATCCAATGTGAAAGTGTGTATTGCATAATTGTAAAATTACAGAATCACAGGACTGAGGTTGGAAGAGACCTCTGGAAGTCACCTGGTCCAACCCCCTACTCAGAGAGGGCCAGAGATGTGTAAGGGTTTTACACTGACTGTATCTGGAAGAAAATAAACCAAGAGACAAAATTGGTCATTGCTTTCTATATAAGCTAGACATTCGTATCCCACAAAGATTGCAGTAACTGAAAAGGACTTTTTGACAAATTAGCATTTCGTAGCAAACCATTTGTGGTTATGATTCTAGCCTCTATATTTTCATTTTAATAAAGGATAATGGTATGAGCATCTATTTTCTTTCTTATATTATAAATTCATATAGCCATTTTATATAGGAAAATTTATGTTAGAGAACTAATTCCATGAAGTCATTTCTTCTTATTATACTTGACATATTTTTTTTCAGAGAAGTACAGTTTAAAATAAAAAATATTTTCCTATTTGATTTAATGTTTGCTTTGAAAGTAGTGGGGGAAAAAAAAAATCAAAATATTACTTAGCCATTTCTATGTTCTTTGTTGACCCAACTGTTGCCACATTTATCCACTAATAGCAGAATTTTTGATGAATCTTTTGCGTTTGCTTTCACACAGAGAGTTTGGATGGCGGGATCCAGAGCTTCCAGAAGTTATACAGATGTTACAACATCAATTTCCCTCAGTACAGTCAAATGCTGCAGCCTACTTACAACACCTGTGTTTCGGAGACAATAAAATAAAAGCAGAGGTAAGATTTATAAACCCTTTTTTCAGCAGTGTTGCTGTTTGCCATTTATCATTACCAGTTATTTATATGTGCTTTAAAAAAAATCTTACAAGAGAAATCATGGATATATACCTGGACCCATTTTACTCAAGCTTTCAGTTATTTGTTACCATTACAGAAAGTAAAAAATGCATAAAAATATTGTTGTCATTCATTGTTTTGTTTTCTTTGGACTATTTTGATTGATTGCATACCATTTAAAAACTGTATCAGTAGTTGTTTGGTAATCAACTAGTGGTGTAGTCTTGATCTCACTGAAACATATGGGCATTTCCTTAGGGTTCTCAAAGAGACATTTGGACACTAAATACAAACACAGAAGATGAAAATTAAGCAAAAAGGTTCTGAATCAAAGCCTACTTTAATGTATAATTGTGTGAATAGAGTCTAATTTCACTGGGTTTGCAGCTTGAACTGTAATCATTGGTCTATGAACTTGAAATTCAGTGAGGATTGCATCTGAAATGCAATTCAAACATTAATATAGACTTTGTTCTTACCTGTAGCTGATAGGTACTTCTTGCTTGCTTTTTCCCTGTGGTTAATGGGACCAGCACAGCTTTTGGCACAAGCTGAAACAGAAGGAAGGTGGCTCTGAGGGATCTGACAAACACACAGCAGTCAATTAAAATTGAATGAGTGAAGCTGTTACCAGCCCCAGCTGCCTCCCCTGGCCCTCTCAGAGATGCTACTAGTCAGGGACATGTGGTGTGCACATAAATCTGTGCTGTACTGGCATCTTTTATCCTGGCATGTAGAGGTAAACTGAGATCAAGATCTGCTATTGCTTACTTGTCAGAACTGAGCAGTGATGCTGGCTTGCTAGTGCTTCATTATCCTTACCCTCAGAACATACCACTCTGTGAGTCTATTTGGCTACAGCAGCTTTCCCTTCCAGGCTTTTTCATGCTGAGGACATTCCTGAGTGAGTAAGCATGTGATCTGCTGGCACTGGCAGAATTGCACTGGTTGTGTACATCAAACATCTTAGAAATAGTGATAAAAATATATTTACATGACTGTAAAATGAAGGATGTTTGTGCACTGGAGAACAGAACTCTGGTACAGGTATCACTGAAAATTTTAACTGGACTCTCTCCCTGTACTCTTCTCTCATCCTTATTCAGAAATTAGTTCTTCAGTAAGAGAATTGATTATTCTTTGAGAAAGGAAGTTAAATAATTAGAGCAATTCATTCATTGTACAATCTCTGCTGCCTCCTGTAAACCATAGACTGAGAGACCTTAAGTGGCTATTCCATTGGAGGGAAGAAGATGGTTTGATTTTTGTTGCTAATCATTTAGGGAAAAAGACGTCTGATTGTTGTTGATTTGATCATTTTTGATCTCACCCATCCCAGTAGGATATCACCCTTTGTAAGCTTCTGACTCGTGAGCTGGAAGGGTGAAGGTAACTATATGAAACAGTAGAGCACTAGGGAGCATTCTGAGCTTCTTCTGTGAAAAAAGATAACAAATAAAACAAGGATTCCTCCACTTCTTTTGTTATTATTCAGGACTTTGATATACTCCTTACTCCATAATACCTATACTGCTATGGAAACAAACCAAAATACTTTTTTTGAAAGAGTTCATCTAAGAATATGCTTTCAAACTTCTGATACTTTAGGTTTTTGTAAGACAACAGAAAAAAGGGATGTATTGTATACTTATCTAATGCTTTGTGGAGCTTTTCAGACTAAAGCATCTAACATTAGCAAACTGTTTTATCTCTATCTATCTATCTACCAACCTATGTTATTTAATGATAAGTCTCGTTGTGTTTGGGTCATGACTCAGCAGACAAAACAGTTTCTGTGTTTGTTTGTTGGGATTAGGGTCAATCCAAATGGCTCGTACTATACTTAGGGTCTACTTGAGCTCTCCACTGAATCAGAATTTCTTGAGGAACCTTTTGTGTGAGAGCTCAAAATCTTGTTGATAAGGGGATATCAGAGCAGATATTCCAGATTCTTACTATGTTTATACCCAGGCAGAGTAACTTGAGTGGTCCTGTTGAACCTACCTGGGACAACTCCTGTGATAACTGTTAAGAATGTGTCTGAATTATGAGTTGAACTAACACCTAAATAATAGAAACTGATATCAAAATTCTCTTTTCTGCAAAGTATTTGTGTTGCAGTTGCGTGTTGTGGCCAGTTCTCCTCTGTCTGAGAATGATCACATTTAATATCCAATTCCTTCTTCATGGAAAGCAGCATTCCAGTCCTGCTGCACATGGTCGCAGGGAACCCTGCAAGCTCCAACACAAGAGGCAAGGAAAAGAAGCGCCAGGACACATCCTGTTTTCTTTGCAATCTCTTTTTGCCATTACATAGCACAAGAATTTCATTTGTTTTGAAACGCAGAAAACACTGCTCTTTGACCAAATACGTAGCTTTAACATAGCAGATGACTTGGGCTAAAGAAAAAATGCTATCTTGGTGGTCTTTCAAAGAGTGGAGAAAGGACTCACATAGAAATATGTAAGTTAAGAATGCTGCTGGTATTTCACATGCCTGACAGGCACTGAGAAAAAAAAGCAAATTGAATTCACTAAATAATTTATTCAATATTAATCTGTAATGTAATGTATATGTATAATGTATATATATATATGTATGATAATATAATAAACAATGTAATGTATACAACAATTTAGTTTATTTACCTGGTTGTATTGAATTTGAAATGCAATGCAGTTGTTAAAGTTTCAATGCTGGAGTTATCCGACAGGGAAAGAAAAAGTTCTTTTACCTTTATCAGTATTGAGCATCAAATTGTCACCCTGCAATTAATGACTATTTCATCCAGAGTTTCTGGAAATAACTGTCCTGAAATACTTTTTTTTTATTATTCTTTTAAGCATGATTTATACTGTATCACCTACTGAAAAGGTGATTAATGATCTATCCTCTGAATCTGACCATTCTTTCAATCTCCCAGTTTTGTTTTTGTATAGTGGCAGGACAGAGACCTTTATATTCTTTTTTTTGGAACAAGGTCAACTAAACTTTAGACAGAAATAGAAAATAGCAGCTGTGACTATAGGCATTTCTGAGATTACTAGCACCCTTTATGGTTTTTACCATTAAGTTTTTCTCTTCTAAAATATTTCAATTTCTGTGGCTGTAATGGGGAACACTATCCCTTGCTTCCTTTGTCCCCCCAAAAAGAAGAAGTGGAAATGCTCTTTAGAAAACAACCGTGAAAAAGATACTCACTCAAAAATGTTTAAAGTCTGGCTAGGGAAACTGGAGATATTTTTCCCTTCGTGACCAAGTTCTTTATAGTAGGTGTTATTTCTAAAGCACAAGTTGATCACAGGCATACTTCTGAATTGGGTGGCATCACTCTAAATGTGCCTTTATTGGTACGTAAGTGCAAATGCCCTGTTCAGTTTTATGTAACACTGAGGTCTGCAAATGCCTTTCTCTAACTTCAAGGACTTTCAAACAAAGTTGGTAACTGTTTATGTGAAGATGCCCCAGGCTGGATACTAAGGTGTCAGAAGCCATTTACTTTTTCACAAAAAAACCCTACCTTCTGGAGTGACTTATGTTTTATATTTCTGGTAGAATTTTTATTTTTCCCCTTCCAGCCCTGATCATAGCAGAAGAGCAATAGGTAAATGCAATAAACACTGACCATTGATAAAGACGGTGTTGTTATTTCTTGCGGGTGCTGCCACTTCTATGCTGCTCAAAACCATTTAGTGCTAGTCTTTATTTCAAAGTACAATTTTAACTGCTGCTCTTACCTGAAAGTTTTTCACAAATGCTACTTCTGAGTCCCTTTAAGTCTTGCTTAACAGCAAGGCAGCTGCTACATCTGCTCTCAGTAGTGCTTCTCATTCTCTACTTTTATTCCCTGTGCTGGGTGGTTAGGTAGTACAGCAGACATTAGAATGGAGTTGAAGAAATTGGATTATTTTTGCTAATGTTTGATAGTTGATTTTTCATCTTGTGTTGAACAGTAACCGGCCCTCACTAAGGGTCTCACATATGTAAAAGGGGACATAGGGAGGCAGAAGGCTAAAGGCTGTAAAAATTACCAGGCAGCCCATTACAGTTATGCATAATAATTCTGAAATTCAGAATCTCAGAATACTTCAGTAATTCTTTATATAAATTATTCTTTCATTGATAACAGTGAAGAATGTAACTAAAAGGCAAAAGGAAAGGAGAGAAGAAGTTTTGATCAGATATTTGAAAGCAAATGAAAAGCTGATCAGGCAGAAGAGCACAGGAAGACCCTTTCAGATGGCATTTTCTCCTCAGGAGAGGACTCTTACGCAAACAATGGTGAGATTGTGAGCAGAGCCAGAGTAGCTGCCCCTGGATGCCAAGAAGTAACAGACAGGGGATATAGGAAAAGAGAAGCATTTTAAAATACTCAGCAGAGAACATTTCTTTAAAAGAGCACATTCTATTAAACACAGGATTCATTCTTCCACAGCATTTTTTCTTCCTGTAATGACATTTTCCTCTTTTGTATGAGGTCACCGTGTAAAGGGATTGAATTGTGCAGTTTCACACGCCAACACCATTTTGCTCTCATGGAAGATGGCAGCCTGCCATCAGCTGCAAAGGTGTAACAGGTCACTCAGGGTTTCTGGCACCAATAATTGCTTTCTGCAAGCTAGGAAATTAATTTTTGCCAGCAAAGTCACAACACTTGAGATCCTTCTCTCAGGAAAATACTGCAAGGATGCCAAATAAAAGAACAGTAACTGTTGAACTGTCCTGCCTGAAGCCTTCCCTTGCATCCTAAATAAATACTGCTGGATTGGACACTTTCCTCTTCATCTTGGAGAGCATTGCCATATACTCCCTTCAGGAGAAAAGTATCAGTCCAGACATTATCATATGGAGTTCTAAAACCTGAGTGATTGCATGCCGAAATCATCTCTTTTCCAGCTTGCTGAAATTCATCATTCACATTCATTTTATGATCAAAATA